TGCCTCAAGCTTGATTTCGCAAAATTGATTTATTACAGTTAGCTATGAAGTGTGATGATAGGGTATACTATGGGGTGGGGGTGGTAGCACTTTCCCCTTCATTTTTTACCGGCTAAACACTAGTATAATTATAATCATTAGGTTTCCAAGACTAGTTTAGTTACTGATAACTAAAATACGTTTGGTTGTTTAGATGATCAAACAATATTTTCATCCATTTTAGAAATTTACGGTCTCTAAGTATCACAAGAATACCATGCCTTTAACTCGCTCATACCAAACTATGTTCTAAAGTGAAATGTTAACCAATAAATTTTCAATAGCAGAATCAACTAACTGTGTTTGGGTAGGGCTTATTACTTCAATTAGAAAATCAGATGTTCTTTAACCATACCAAATGTTATTGAACTCTGACTGTATATCTATCTATAATCTACTATATTCGCCCGCTGAAAAAAAGATTATACATTAGACTTCCATTAAAAACAATTTAGGTACGCAACTATCACAATTAAGATCACTCATAAGGAATTAGGCCCAACTTAAATATGATTAAGTTTTATCTGGAAAGAAATATAGCTAGAGGAAAGCATAGCTCCTTTAAACAGTTGGGTTTCTTATACTTTCATATATTATTTATGTAAACTACTTATAACCACTAGTATATATGGAAGATTCCTTGACCTGTGTACGACTTACCGTTTTCAGAATATAATTATTTACCTAAATACACGTAGAACAAATTATCATCTCGTTATGAAATTATAATTATTTTTAAGTTTTAAAACTTCAGAATAACAACTCCGATTGAGTTTGTTTTATTTTGGGGCATTTCAATTTAGTGAGTAGCTCGAAAATGGTATAATTAATGTAAACTTATGCCACTCTCCCTGTTCTTCAACCATATTGATATATATATATTTGGGAATTTCTTCATTCCTAAATGAAAATAGGTTTTACACTAGCAGCAAAAAAGTATCCCATCTTTTAAAATTAATAAGTTTTTTAACCGATTTTAGAAGAGTTTAATTTTGGTGATTTTTTTAGTCTTTTTCTTTCAAAACGTAATGACAGTATTTTAATAGTCATATGATAATGTATCACGAGTACATCGGTTAGGTTATGTAGTTTAAATACAGAAATTCTGGGAGCGTACTATATTTTATTAAGAACTACAACTTGATTCTCTAATGAAATTTTTCCATTACACTGAATTTCTTCTAAAACACGGGCTCAAACTGATTTTAATGTGTAGATTTCAAATTGACAATCTCAAACCTAACACGTTTGGTTGGTAACGGGGAAATCCCCTTTCTTCCAGGCTCATCATTAACTTCTGATCAAATCAAGCAACCTCTTACATTGGTCAGAACTAAAAATTAACCTTGTAAATAATATACCAGTTTAACAAGAAGTATGAGGCCATAAAGCCTATTAATGGTTGGAATGTATTGGCTAATTAGTTAGGTACCCTTGCTGTTAGCTATATTTTCTATATTTTCGACACGTTTCTGCGTATTCTTGTGTTTAAGAAAGTTGGCTTAATCTATAGATTGATAAAACACAGTTAGAGATTGTATGGTAACTTTACATAAAATAGATTTCGTTAGTCACGCTAACGAAGAGAGAGCTATCATCAAAAACACCCAAAAACTGTCTTCTTTTTCTGCATCTGAAATAAATATGACAGAGACTACTTTCAAAACGTTTGTTATTTACAACAACGTCCCAAAAATCTCACTTTTAATACCAAATAAGTAATTAAGTCTAGTTTAAGTCTATTTTCACCTAAACTAACATAACGACAATATCACAGCACAAACAGCTAATAAGTATGTAATTTCATATGTATTAAACGCTATATATAACAAACATTTTGTAATGATATTTTCTATACGATTCAATAGATAATAATCAATTTAATATTCTTTCTTGTCTGTGCCGTATATAAATGACATAATGTTATTAACTTGTGGGTATTGAGTGCGTCTTATATTTATATTTCGAACAGTGTTGTTGTGCATCGGGTTTTTACATAAATAGTGAATTTATTTGAACATCCTCAACTAGTTTTGTTTCTAAGCATAACATTACGTGAATATGAACCCTATTATCACATACAGCTTCAGTCAATGCTAAAGTAACTGCCCACTTCTGCTTCCTAATATCTTTCTTCACCTTACGCAGGAAACCTAACTCAACATTTTTACCAAAACAACATTTATAGGGTTGAATAGTTTAAAAAGTCATTTCAACATTTACAAGTATTTATATTGAACAGCCATTAACCGCTAGATGGAGTTGTCCGACTGTTATTTTAATGAAACAAGAACAGCAATACTAAAGAAGTGTAACTTTTACCTGATTTTTCAACTGGCACCAAACCATGAAAACACATATGTGCTTACAATAAGCAACTAAGATGTTGTGTAACAATACACACATTTTACACTAACGGTTTCGATTGTATGTGAACGGAAAAGTCAAATATGTTTCAAACGTCTAATTAAAAAACAAACAAAACAAACATTGTCTAGATAGTTTAACCTGACAAGACAAAGAGTGTTCTATTCACAACTCTCTCTTCCACCTAGTTCATTTCTGATTGATTAAACACAAGTACATACAAATATAGGGAATTATTCATATCCAAAATGCTTGTCACATTCTCTGAAACATATTTTGTATTTGGAAAGAAATATAATTTTTAATCTATACATTATTTCCAACCCTACAGTGACAAGCTTATTTGTAAAAACAATGTCTAGTACAGATAAAGGCAAATATCTACCAACATGTTGTTTACTGAAATGTCTTACAAACAAACATATGAACAGATTTATCTTGTACGTAGATTGCTGAAGGCTAACAATGTAGATTGCTGAAGGCTAACGTGGAAGGTCCCACTCATTACAGAGGTACTGAGTTAATCGTATCAATATCATTTATAACAAATACTTTTGTTTCCTAAACTAAGCAAATACAACGATCAATAACGGGAATCTACACAAGATCACGATTATACAGCTGCCTATAGGCTGATAGGTTGTTAGACTCTGGTAGTCTTCGAGACAACCAGGATCCCTGCGTGAAGTAAAAATACTTGGCTTGTTCGTCGTCCCAGAGCAATTTCCATCTGCAACCCTTCTTGTGAATCATACAAAAAAAATACTCTAGAGGTCTGGTCCAGTTTTCCTAGTCTTGTGGTCAGTGGAAATTACCAAGTGGACATTAACTAAGATATTTCTTGTGACCTGATCAAGACATCTGAAACTTTGATTCCATCAGTTACTTGTGACAATCTTCAAACATCGCTAAAATAAAACGAAAAACTAATTAGTTACAAACACGCCCACCAACACATTTTCAGTGAAAACTGGCTATTTTCTCATGAAACAAATATTAACACTGAACATATTTTGATGTTAGTTTCACATTACTCACATTCTTAATGGTGAGTTAGGGATATTTTCAATTATTTTTAGCTATATGATTTTGTTGATTCATTCAAATTTTGTTTTATTTTAACTTGCCTAGTTGAATAATAATGGGTGTTTTAACTTAAACAACTAAACATACAGTATGTACAACAGGATCACTGACTACAAACTGATTAAAGGTAAAAGTATTTGAATAAAGCATATCATCCACGGAATGTAAAACTTATGCGGTTTGTCTTTTCATATTTAACTTTGATGGACAAAAAATAAGATTATATTTACTTCAACGTACACGTTCTGATGTGTACTAAAAGTATGTCCCCTAAATATGGGTAAAGCTTAACGTTGGTTTTACTGAACAACGTATTCAGCTCATGTGCACTAAGTTAATGCTACACATATATAGGGAAGAAATATTAAACTTGATAAAATCATTTGCTAAGAAAAACATTTGGTTTGTGGCAGATGTTTTACTGAATATATCGTTTCAAAGAAAATAAGTAGGCTGAAGGTCTAATTAAAATTAACTACTTAATACAGTTTTTATCATTAATATCTAATTCTTAGCACAATAAAGTGGTCTGGTTACTACAATGGTTCCATTGGTCACTTAATACAGGTTGTCAATAAAATCTAGTTATTAGCGCAATAAGGGAAAAATCAAGTCAAATGTGGTTGTTAAATTAATCCCATTGACCAGTTAATACAGTTTTTATCATGATAATGTAGTTATTTACATAATGAACTGAAATAAAGTAAGATCTGGTTACTGCAATGATTCTACTGACCACTTAATACAGTTTTTATCACGAAAATGTAGTTATTTACATAATGAAATGAAATAAAGTGAGATCTGGTTACTGCAATGATACCACTGACCTCTTAATACAGTTTATCACTGCAATCTACTTATATCATAAGTGATGATATTAAAAACCGCTTATCACTTGTTACTGTCGAATTATTGTATTAATTTGAATTATTCTTTGCTTACTTGTTTGTTGGATTTCGCGCAAAGCTACACGAAGGCTATTAGGCACTAGCCGTCCCTAATTTTCAAGTGATAGACTAGATGGAAAGCAGCTAGCCAATACTACCCACCTTGTCAAACCGAATAATATGATTTGACTGGCACTCTTATAACCCATCCATGACCTAAAAGAGCGGATAGAGATTTTTTTTTTTTGCGGTAACTGTACTCGGACCACAAACCCTCAGTTCCACAGTCCGGCACGCTAATCACTGGACCGCGCTCGGCTCATTAATTAATATTGCAACATGAGTAAAGTCCAGCTACTTACGTGGATTCCAGTGACCAGTTGATCAGAGAACATTCGTTCATCTTTTGCATTTCTGCTACAGAAGGTGGTATTTGAGAAAAATCCTCATTGACTGTAATTTGGACAGCAGAACCCCCACGATGTTGAGCTGTGTTGTTCTCCCCCTCCAGTAAGACTGTGGTCAGCTGTAGGTGGTCATCACTTTGTTGGTCATTAATCACGACAGCATGAGGGTCATAGTCTCGCTCTCGTGTCTCCTCTAAGTGATCCACACCTCCTTCAAAACTAAGATCATATTCGACACTACACAAGCTTAACTGCGCGGATCCTGTACTGCTCACGCTGGAGCTGATCATCGAGTCAGAACTGAGGCACTTGTCGACGTGTTTGTTTCGAAGGAGTTTGTCCCGGGGGATTTCCCCTAACTGTCCACTACGACAACTCTCCAGTTGTCCAGGATTCCACGATAACCGTTTGTGTAAATTTTGATCTTTTTCTCCTTTCCTCACAACCTCTACAGAATCAGCAGTATGGTACCGTCGTGTTGCTCGGATAGCTCGCTTTATGTGCATTCTCTTAGGGTCTTCGTCATCGGAATCGGGGGTATTCTTTTCAGAGCTGATTATCCCGACTACGGTATCACTAT